ATCGCCTTCTAGCGTTCATATTAATGTCCGTTCATAATTATGTCCGTTCAAGTAATGTCCGTCCAAATAAGGTCCGATAAGGTAGGAGACAATTATGTGATCCAATAATTGAAATCCGCGGGGGTCAGTGAGCCTCCCGTCGCCCTTCGCTGCCCTTAGCCTGGAGATCACCACTGTTCATCCAGTTTCCAGTCTTCACCACGAGGAGGTAGCAGGATAGGACTTGTTGTGGAGAGGCTTCATCTTGCTGTTCGATGTGGTACTGGAAAAGGGCACCAACGGGGTAACCCTTTTTCGAGGTTCTGGCTGCTGCAGGCAGATCCAGGGTCTCTATCCAGCAGTGACGCTTTGGGTCACCTGCGCTTCACACAACCATTGGAAGACTAAACTGTATTGCTTGACATTAAATTCGTCGTTGGTGTGGTGATAATTTGTCCCAAGATGCCAGAATTTGTTTATTTATTTTATTTGATATTACTTTTTAGAAACAAAATAAAGCAGTGAAGGCACAGTCATTGAAATAAGCTAAAAGATAATGCGACGGATTCTATTACGACGACCGAAATTTTGGCGGTCCGAAAATATGGCGAAATTTTCGGAAAACCGCAACATTTCGTACGTTATAAATATGTCTTGTAAGGTAGTTATTTTGTGTTCCTGTTCTATGTTCTACTCTTGGAGAATTTCGGACAGCTTATGTCTATGATATATTAATCAGTTATGAATAATTTGAACATGTACACTGAAACGCCCATCTCAACACTGGGAATCCGGAATCCTACTTCCCAGAAAAATAAGTCTGGACCAGATGTAACATCTGATATACCTTACTCGGGAATATTATAACCGGGATAAAGTGGTGGGTTTTGGAAGATTCCGCCATATTTTTCCCGGTCAAAAATTTTACCAGTCATAAAAAAACCCGCCGACTCAGATTATGGGGTTCCAAGGGGGTGGTGATCATCATATTTTACCTGAAGTCTCATATGTGCTAGAGAAGACTTTTGAAGCAGTGGATGGAGGGCTGTAACTTTATTGTCGGTTGCTACCATAATTTCGTTATAAAAATCACAATTTGGTTATAGAAATCAGATTTCAGGGTGGACCGTGATTCTCACTTCTCTTTCCCATGAATCAGTGAATCGTAGAGAAGAAAACAATTTATATGTTATAGAAGAAAACGAAAATAATAATAATATATAATATATATTATAATAATAATGTCTCTAAAGATTGATCGCTTCTCGTGTGCAGTGTGTAGACTAAAGAAAGAGGGAGTTTTTCCCGTTAATGTAACTTGTGGCCACATCCCGCTAGAAGCGAGTAAACTGTGCTACTATTTCATGGTCCACAGTGGATTGATTACTGGAGCAGTTGAAGATGCAAAGCCAAGACGTTCCCCAATACCAAGCGGTGGGCAGGAAATTAAGCTCCGGCTGACCTTCAGAGCAGTAGCCCCATTAGTGTTCAAAATGAAAGTCTTGTTAAGACAACAATACAACTTCGAAGTTCGAATTTGACGGTCAGCAGCTCAGGGGGATATCAATAATGATAATGGCGGGGACATTAGCGAAAATGAGAATGAGAATACGCTTTAATGAAGATTTGACTTATTATTGCTTAGATTTATTTTCCTTTAAACAGACTTGTCTTTTTTTTCTATTTCTGAGTAATATCAATAACTGTTAATTGAAATAACTTCTTTAACAAGTAACAAAAACAGAAATTTCGGTTGAAAATTTGTTGACCTCTGAAAAAAAACTTGAAAGGTCGGCCACCGGTAAATACATGACCGGGATAATTTGGCGGGTTTTGGGAAAGTCCGTCATATTTTTCCCGGTCATTAATTTTCCCAGTCATAAATTAACCCGCTATAATATTCCCGAGTAAGGTAGAATTTTTATTTTCATCCAGTCATTTTTTAGTTGGTGCCTACTCTATACTGTATTAGTATACTTATTCCCGTGTTTCATTGTATAGCAATATTACAGACACATCTATTCTTGCAGACCATGGTACCTATGGTAACCATGGTAACACTAACAGTATGATAATCTCCAGATTTCCTTGATCCAGTAGTCCCAGATAAAATGTTTTAATGAACTAACGACAATAGCCTTCTTTAATGTCAGGAAAATTAGCAGTTATTGTTCGCCCTCATTAAAAGTCCAAATCAGATCCTAAAAATACTAACTAGGATCTCAATCAATTTGCAATCCAATAATGCATCACGTCACACCCAATTAACATGACAATTGCATATACAGCAGGATTTCAATTATAATCTTCCTGCGATCTCTCTTTTCGGTAAAATTAGAACCTTATTAATGGTTTGCATGTAACCAGAAACGGAAGTTCGTAACTTGGATTAAAACCGGGATGACTGCTTGGTAAGCATCACTGTCTAGGTTTCCAGTTCCAAGGACGACCTCTTTAGTTAGCTCCGTTCCCCCAGTTTGCAGCACTTCTTTATTCATTTTTCTGTCTTGACTAAAGGAGCATCGATTTAGAGCCCACGTGGGTCTCAGTTTAACAATACCCTGTAGTCTCAGACGCAGTCACGTGTCATCGCCTAGCAACCTGTGAGAGGGAAGGTATTGTGCTGCATAGGTCACGTGGGTAACGCGTGACAACCTTACTCTCCACTTAACCCCTCACTCTTCCTTGCACGTGCTGAGTCACGTGATGCGCGTAATGCGTGAACAGCACCACAGTTTTTTGTACATATGCGCTTACAGTAAGAGCCAGCTAGATTCAGGTCGGAACTTGCGACACCAGCGCGAGCTCCTGAAATTCAGCGAACATCTGCAGCTCTTTTGTCGTGACTGCAGCGTGATCAGCTATTATTTGCAATTCTCATGGGATTATTTTGAGTTCCTTATTTCTTCATTTAGACTTAGTATTATCAGAAAATATAACAATTTTAGCTTCTTTAACCTTTGTACTTTACACATTGCAGCCCCACCTAGCTAGTAATTGATGTTGAATATCACATCGTATAACTTTGAACTTAGTAGTTTACAATTACTTGAATCTGTTTTGTTGCCTCTAAGATCGTGTAAGTCTGTCGATTTACCATAGTTAAAAACTAATGAGCCGTATTCAGTGAGCTCAGAGTTTAATTTCCCATTGGAACACTTCATAGTAGCTTTCATCTGGACATCATAGAAACTGTCATGATCTGGACATTAGTACCAGTGGTAACCTGGTGTCATTGAAAATGAACTGCCAAACGGAGAAGTTTGATGAGGCACTGCTGTGCTCACTTATTAGGGCAGAACATTGTTTAGTGGAAGCTTTATTTCGTCCGTTTAAATCAAACATTTATGGTGAATGATTTTGTGAACTATTAGTAAGGAACTTTTATTTGGTTGACTCGCACGTGCCATTTATGTGACTTTGCCTTATAAGTAACGAATTGTTCACCTGTTTAGTGTTTATCGACCTTAATACGCAGCACAGAGCACTAGTGAGCTTTGTTAAATTACCAGTTTTGGCATCAGTAGATCTGTTTCTGACAAGATTCCACAAAATTTTCATGGTGTTCACCTCTTGAGATTCACTGCAGATTAAATTGATTTAATTAGACGGTAGGATAATAGGTTATATTTTAGTCTACCTCACAGGCTGGCTTTGTCACACTCTTACACCAACCACTCTTTAAAATCCAATCTATAATAGCCTCATGGAAACTCAGATTTTGCCGCACCGACCAGCCCCTCGCTCAAATCTTTAGCATCCTGATATATTTTTGTTGTCTAATGACGTGAAGTCCAAGCCTCCCCTGGATTTTCAGAATTTAACGGTTTGTTTCGTCCGCTCGATAGGCTTTACACTTTAGCCGTCTTAATCGCATTGTTTCTTACAGTTTACTCCTCATAAGAATAAAAGATTTAATGTTGATCAACAGTTACACACGGTGCGGTACCGTGAATCAAAAACTAACGCTGGCAGCTCGGAGAGTATTGTTGAATTAAACCTCATGAGATCTTTGCCGAGCTTCCTTTATTGCATTACAATAATTGACCGATGGGGCAGATAGATCTGCTTATTCAAATTAATTTTCTCATGAAATACACGCGCCCTGTCCGTAGTTGGTTAATTTGGATTTAATTTAGTTGATCTGTTTGACCTGTTGAGTTGTGAACCTTCAACATTTTGCTCTTATCCTTGAGGCTAATTAGGTCCTCAATTTATATTGTATCTTTTGTAAAACTTGAGTTAATGGACTTTGATTGGCCTGTCTTTTCAGCCTTTTTTACAGCTCATTAGAGATCCCAATTAGCATACCGTCCATCACATCGCAAGAATCAAGAAGTGAATACTTCAAAACACCCTGAACAGCAGGTGCCTTAGGTCCTCAATTCTCGTTTTGCAGTATCTACATTGTTGCTAACTCGTGGGGATCCCTCACTTCGTGTCATTAAATCACCAAATTTACTGCTGGACGTTTGAGTTTGACACCATCCTGGATTTAACCTGACTCTCAGACTGATGATTTTTGTTACTAGTTGAGGTTATGACAATTAATTGTCTGGTGTGTCCAGGCTGGGTTTTAGGCCCCGGTTTATCAACACAGCTGGTCCTTCCAAATCCGCGGTTAGCCACAATTTGAATGCAATAAAAAGCAGGTCGGTCTGTCTCGCCTTGGAATTAGTGTCACTGATTTGGCAAGGTGATAACCTCCCACCGCCCTAACAGATGTTCTGAATTGGGGGTTTTGTGTGATCCGCCAAATTTTGTTATATTGTCGTTTAATGTTCGTCAACAGTTCGAGTTTCTTAATTCTTTGGCTAGTAAAATCTTAATTGTTATGTTTGTGCAAGTTGACAGCACGCTAAAGCATTAAAAACCTCAACTGTGCTTCGTTCATAAATACAATATTCTTGAAATAAAACATTTTCAAAATCGTTGATCTTTATTTGTAATTACACTCATCAGCAGTCACGTGTCCAGTTTATTAATACTTTTACTAATCTTGTACTGCGCTAACTAGAAGGATTCAGACGAAACAAAATGGTCGATTGTACAGAAACGATGCAGGTTCCTCTCCCGGTCCACCTCACTCAAAAGGTAAATAACCTTCCTCTTTCCATCCTCTGCAACATTATTGTTTAATTCAATGGTATTCCCAATTTAGTTTCTGTAGAATTACACACACACACAAATTAACACTCACACAAATCAATGTTTAATCTTCCGTAGTATTTTCACAGCCGATTTACATGATGGCTGTAAAATACTGTACTCAACAATAACACAGTTTCCTTCAGCTCCTCTCTTCGATCAACAATTCAAAGAATGGGAAGAATGATGGCGAGAAAACATTCAATGTAAGTATTTATCTTTCTACCGCAACATTATAATTCTTGTTGAAACACGTACACTGCTCCCACACTTGAGTTTAATCTGGCCTCTTATAGTATACCCCAGAAGAATTCCGTCTTATTCTGGAGAACAGCTATATTCTTCTTATAATAGCGGGGTCTGCAGGTTAATTAATACAGGCTACAAATTATTTATTTACCTCAATATGTTTTATTTACACTCACCCGCTCCCACACTTTAGTTTAATTTAGTTTCTAAGAATCCCCTAATTGCAGCATTTATTCTAACAATTCTAAGTCTAATGTCTAGCCCTCCCACACCTCATGCAAAATCTTCCATGCGTGTAGGTTAGTACTAACAACTATGTAAGATTTGGTGTAATTTTATTGTTTGTCTCCGGGAATCGCGTGCCAAGTCTAAGACTAGGTAAGAGTAAGAAGCGACAAGTAGGGCTAATTTCACTGTGAGCTGAACAGAGTACGGCTACTAATCACTTAACTGCTTCCCTGTGATTGACAGGATTTCGGACACTCAGCTCTAGACTTTCAGATGCTCGGGTTCCTTTATCAAGCTGTTAATGGGGGTGATCTTGTCGGTTTTCAGATCCTAATCGCATGTTTGGAGCGCGGGCACGTCAAAAAAGGGTGTCACGTGGGTATCTGGTTGGTGGGGATGTCAGCCTGATCTTATTCCATGTGCCCATGGTGTCATTTCTATCACAGCCAGGCCTGAGAACACTCGTACTTTCTTAACAGAGTTCCAATCAAGTGCCAATCAGAGAACCAATTAGAAAACCTGGGTTAAACTCGATTGATTGATCCGGAAGTTAAGGTGCATGGTGATTACATCCTAGTTATACGAGATTGAATGGAAGCAAGTGTCAAATACCAAATTAGATAGATGAACCCAAATAACATGTGCTCGAATTGTGATGGTAGTAAAACAGGGCCGGATTTCCTTTTTAGAAACTCCAAAAGTAAACTAGATCTTAATTACCCTAACTAATATCATTAATGCAATCTGCAGCACAGCGTTACAATAGGTTCATAGATGTGAAAAACTCGAAAGGGAAATTGGGGAATTGTTAGCTGAAATATAATAGTGCACATTTTCAGAGGTACGTCAGACAGCTGGTGGACCAGTACCTGGACAAGGAAGTTGTCATCAGCAAGCAGCCCGAAGACAAAGTGGAACTGATTGTGCAGGCCTGTCGGGAGAAGTTCCCAGACTTTGCTCACTGGACTACTACTCGCATAAGGTTAGATTCAATCTTTTTGTTTACAAATTTTCAGTGCTATACACTGAGACACCGGCCAGCAAACCCCAGACCAAATTAAAACCAGATATACTGAATCCCTGACAAACTCATTCCCAACACTATGTTTATGTTTGGATTTGAAATTGTTTACAGCTCAAATGTCGCTCTAAATTGCCGAGTACTCTTGCCCTACTGGGGGAAATGACACCAATTGGCCACTGTCCAAGTGGACACATTGACTACATAGGCTAATTTATAAATCCTTTCATAATTTATTATTTACATATACATTTTACACAATAAAAGAACAATCGTCTAGAAGTCTAGAGATTCTAAGAGGATCGATCATTGATGCAATTCCTTTATAGCAGCACCTTATTAAAGTTTTAAACTTGTGTGGATATTAAAAAGGAGGTTAACCACGATTTACACAAATTCCTCGTATATTTTATCCGAGTCAGACTCTGTTCTATAACTGAAAATACTCTAAGTAAACTTAAAACGCCGTCTTGTTACTCAATAGTCAATAATTAGCTCATTACCGACACGTCATTAGCGAGCTTCATATCTCTTTTAAGTTTTAAGAGAGCACAAAGAGCTCTTGTTCTGATCTACCTTCAGATGTGGTAAATTCAGGTCTATCTTGTCATGTTGAACCGCCGCTTAATTTGAACAAGAGCGCTTCTGTCAACCTCATGATTTAATTGCACCTACTTCATGAGGTTTTACTAGATCGGAATTTAACAGAAATGCTCGACTTCATTCCGGAGATTCTCAAGATAGCTCTTGACCGATACTAATTAACTTTTATTAACAGGATCTACATTGAGTCATGCCGAAGATTGAAGAAAATAAAGAACTCGCCCATACTACTGGCCAAGAGAAAAGCTGCTGGCAGGCGATTCCGAGAAGGGCAGAAGCTAAAGAAAATCGTAAGTTTACACTTACAGCTCATTTTCATTATGCCGCACAATGTCTTACATTATATTTTGAGTTATGATAATCATACAAACTACCATTGTCCTGGTGAGTCCTCGGAGCACGTGACGCAAATCTCTGAAAAAGCTAATGATAAGATTATTTAACAAGAATAGGCCTGCACACAGACTCTAGTGCCGCTGTTTTTATTCTGGGTAGAACGGAGAAGCGCATGTTTTTAGTCAAACCATTGTATCCTCCGACCTCCGTAATCTAATCCGTCAATATACTATAGCCTCCTCAGTTCCGAGGGCGTTAGCACGTGATTTTGTATTTCAGCTGAGAGGGAGCATGTGCTCGGCATAAGACTCTTGGTCCTCATAATAGAATACTGCACAATCATAATCACTAGAAATTGTGTTAACACGTTGGAACCCATTGTGTCTGTTACCCAGCTGCAAGCCTTCCTGTTAGCACTTCACCTAGAGACACAAGAGCTTTGGGGGGCAACATTTCACAAGATTCGCCAAGGAGAGGGGCCCAGTTAACAATGTAGGGAGGAACGTGTGTCCGAGGGGGAATCGGCCCGCCTCCTAGCGACCATTGTCATGGCTACCCCACGTGCTCTCCGAAATGCTCTGTAGTAACACATGACTTGTGTTCTGCAGAGTTTTTCACATTAACCGGCCTGTAATTACTGCTCATCAGCCCCTCTACAAATTGATGGAGATTAAAGGATCTGAAAAAGGAGGAGTATGCTGGAGAGGGAGAATGGCAGGATAGGGGGAATGTGTACACCTCACCATACTTTTCCCACATTAACACAAACGCTTAAAACTAATGATATCCGTTAGAGAAATGCCATTGTTCAGAACCTAATACCTCAATTGAGCAGTCAACTGATTGTTGCTGTCAAAAAAGCTTTTGTTGTGAAGTTAAATGGCCCTGGGAAAATCAAGAGGTGGAGTGAGATTTTTAATAATTTCTCCTGAAATGGTCTCCAGACATATGTCACTATTGATTATTGACATGTTTACTTTCAGATCTCGTCCCAGCTGTCCATGCAAGCGACAGAGTCTCAGAGACACCTTGCCGAGTACCTATTAAAAGCTAACCAGGCTCAACTTGAATCTGCAATCACCGATGAACCCAGTAAGTATTTAACAAATCATTTAAGACCTATAGATTTATAGATTATAAGGAGTTGAACGTGTTTCTCTATGAAAATTATTTACTGTCATTCATAACACCGACATGGTATGTACACCTAGAATATATGATTATTACACCACACTGTTTAAAACAAACTCATGGTTAAATTCTCATGGCGCTGACTATAGTAGTCGTTTCTTTCTGCGGTTTGAATTATCGAGAAAGTATCGTCATGTGAGGAAATATAACAATGATTTCACAGAAAGGGGCGTTTATCTTAGGACCTGGCCATTGAAAAGTGAGTCGTTCATCTTTGTCAGCAGCTTAAATGATGGGAATCACAAAGGCAAAGCCAGCACTTATTACGCAACAGTATTATACCAAGATATTGCCCCTTTGTCTAGAAGGCCCGAGTTTTTGTTAAATTTTGCCCCTCGTATAATACATTGTTTTCCCGAGCGGGATGTAAGTCACAAAATAACAAAGCTTTACAATGTGACGTGTCCGAAGCTTATTTCGCTCGAATACCCGGCCGTCCAATGAAGTGCTTTCAAAATGTATCCCACCGAAGAACAAAAGCTCGGACCGAGCTGAATTACACGCTTTCAGACCCTCCTAAGGAAATGACATTTCCTGCCTTTATAATTATTTTTACGACTTTTTGTTATTTGGAGCGGCTAGCGAATCTCAGAACACAGCGGTTATACGTAAAGCCGTCTAACAAAGAGTGCTGCATGGAATTAAACAGGAAATTAAACAGGAATTAAACATGAGATTTATGTGACTTATAACTATACGAGTGGTTTATCCATTAGTGATGAGGTGGAATTCAGGGTTTTTTACCAGCTCTATTCAGCCCACTGCTTCTCACTGTGTAAATATATATTAACTCTCTTAATAAACAATAAAGGTCATCTCCGGTCGTGGCTTCATCGCTTAAGTCTAAGAATTAAGATCATGTAAGAATAATCAACAATGCCTCAATGTGCAGCCGATTCGAATTATACACCCGATCACCAGTTCCCATTCCGGAACAACACTCAGTTCCACACATTCCCAAATACAAAGGAAAAATTTATAACTCTTTATCTTCTCCAGTGACGATGCTGAATACAGAGACCGATCTAGATTTACCACAAATGCCAGCTGAACACAACACCGCATTCAAATCTGTGTACAACTCAGCGCCCTTACTTAGCAACTCAGCCCCGCTTTTCAGCAGCCCGGCGCCATTACTAAGCAACTCAGCTCCACTATTCAGTAACCCAGCAACGACTGTGACATCAACCCCAGCCTTCCTTTCCGCACCAGCACGACTAGGACCTCTCGACTCTATCAACTCGGTGAGAGCCAGCATTAATTCAACTTCTTAGCATTTTAATTTAAACTAACTTTTCGCTACTAAGTATTGCATTGTGCTAGTAAGCCTAAGGGCCCCACAGAGCATCCCAGAAAGGTGAAAATCAGTGCAGTATGATATAGTGCCCGGTTCTCTATAAGGATAATTAGGGAAGATCTGCTCATCTCGATCTGCTGTGACCTTCACAGCTCCGTTTACCAATCTGTAAGATAACTGTAGTTTTAGTGGGATTAAAGCTAATCACTTTGAGAACGGTGGCGTGTTGGAGACTAGTTGGGGCAGGAAATAAATCTAGTCCACGTCCCCCCATGAGGAATCATTAACACACTGCTCAGTTTTATCTTAACTATTCTCAGCGCTCATTTCTGACTTTACAAACTCATAATACCTCAGTTTAAAACTAGAAAACAGCTGTTAAAATAAAATGTAAGAGAATAAACGAAAAGTGAGAAGTTTTATCATACTAAGAAAAACCGCACTTTTCCTATGTAGTTCACTCAATCCCATATAGAAACTTAGATAAAATAAAATGAGATGAAAGTTGCTTTTGTGACAATACATAACACAACATTTAATTTCACAGGCACTGAGCAGTATGATGCCTCAACTCTTAAAAGTTCAACAAAGTCTCACCGAGACCAGCACCCCAGCAAGCATGTTGCCCACTTTCCTACCAACCTCCTCCTCCTCATTGCCCTCAACTAACTTCGTGACAGGGTTCCAGCTACACACCAGGATCCCCTCGCCTCCCTCCTCCTTTACCCCAACCATTCCTACTTCAACTACATGCGGGGTCTTCTCCCCTAAAGCGATCAGACCTGTCGCCAGTCCCACCACAACTCCACCTCCGAGATGCTCTCCTCTGAAGCTGACCATCACCCTCCCGGATCACCCTAATATCTCACCTTCCTCCTCCGACAGTGGCGTATCGTGTTCTCTCAGTTACAATGTAAGTTAAATTTCAGGTTATAGTTTTAACAGCCCGATGGTGGTGTAAAAAAGTAAAGAAAGTTATTTCAATTAGACTAAAGTTAGACTAACTCCGAAACTAATAGGTACAATTCTTTCAGGCTTCCGGAAACGCTTCCACATCCCCTGATCGTTCAATCAGCCCAAAACAAAAGAATTTCCAGATCGACTCTCTGATGAACAGCGTGATCAAGTCGAGTCCTACCAGACCAAAGATCGACCTTTCCGAAAGGATGAAGACCACAGAGTCGACCATGTCACAGATGCTGGACCGTCCTCTCTTCCCTACAGGCGAAATGAGCATGACGGAGATCCTGAACGCCAAGACTCTGGTGACGAGTTACAGAGAAGCTGCCAACTTCTTGTACCGAGCAGCTTCAGAACTTGAGCAGTTGCTCCCAAATGACCACAGAGTGTTTTGAACTCGGAATATTGAGTCGAATGCGACTGAAATGAAATTGTGATATGAAATACATATGTGATCTAGAGTACATTCAACTTTAAGATGTATGAGGTGTGGATATTTTAGAAGTAGAGCTAAGCTTCCTTCAATGGGTTTGAACTGAATTACAAATGCACCAATGTGCTGTACAGTCTGAAGGATTACAGTCAGTTTTACAATTATTTTGCATGAATTGTTCATTGTTGACAGTTGACCGGGTAAAGATGGTATTTAAATATTTGTACATATTGCGATTAAATTGACGATTTGAACTAAACATACTTTAACACTGATAGCACGATTATTCTTATCTTGAGCTCTAAACGAACACTGAGAGAATGTTTTTATTTAAGTAGTTTATTTATGGACCAGATCTTTCAAATCAGTTTATCTTTTTAGACAGTCGTTTCACTTTAATAACACGAACAGAAACTTTAAAATTCAGATAATAGTGTGTACACTGTAAATATTCCGAGGAATTGTAAATTGAGATTCCTGTTACAAGTAAAAACACCACCAACTCCTATTTTGCGAACAGTGCTGTGATTGTTCTAAACTAAAAATATAAAGCTGTATTGAGGCGACCCATCCTCTGTTGTTAGATTGTTATATATAACACACTAACTATATGGGATGACGTAAGCTGTGCACTAGCTCCGTTAACAATGATCCACACAGCAACACGTAATGTAGTGGGATCGAAGCTGTAATTATCCAGATAGTTCTTTTGGAAAAGTGAAACTTAGCATTTGTAAGAGTTTATAGTTGCAAGTGGAAGCGGCTAAAATTAAACACGTGATCGACCCTTTTTGAACTGCCCTTTTTTCGAACTGCCCATTTGTTTCCACTCGGAGTGGACCGTAAAAAAGATGTGGTGGTGTCAGGGAGAACAATACTCGTTATTATAAATATAATAGTTCCATAATTAATTCAAATTATCAAGCTGATCTGTTTGCAGATCTGAATCAGTAACAGCACTTATTTCAGTAAAGTTAATGTCCATGCCTTGTGAAATTGTTCGCACTTTTCCTACGAGTAGAATCTTAAATTTGCAAATGAATTTTGACAGGCACTGAAAACAATGAAAAGACCTTGAAAAAGTGCTGGGATACTTAAATTGGGTACAAAGGACAAGGAAATTTGAAAGAGACATGTACTTTGCTGAACAATGGTTAAGAAAATTCTCACCAGAAATGCTTGGGTTTAAACCTTCAGGAAGATAGGGTAGTCACATTGAGAATTCAAAGGGTTCCGCAATATCTATAAACATCAGGCCTTGCTGCGAGTGTTCAAGTTGATTGGAATCTCAATCTCAATCGCCCGCATGGGATGTAGCTAGATACTTCAGTATGTACATATTTTATTGTTATTAATTGGGATTGTCCAGAACCAGGGTGTTAATCCAAAGTTTGAACTATGGAAGTGGAATCGCGTGACCGTCGATGCTGGCTTAACAGTTAACACCAGCATAAATACTATTAGATTCGGCATGGCATTGAAAGCTTATCTCCGGTACATGAGCATTGAGCACCGGTACTTGAACAGGAAGTAAATATAATGATGTTAGAACGTCGCGTAGAACCTAGCAATATCTGCAGCAATATGTAATGAATATAAACATATAACGATTAGGGGCCATCTACTTAGGACGTCCGCCAAAATCGCAGATTTTCATACCAACCCCCCCCCCCCCCCCCCCTCCGGGTGTGTCCGAATTTTCAAAACCACCCCCCCCCCCCTCATCCTGATGTCCGGATTTCCTGCTACTTTTAAAAGTACTAATAAAACCAACTCAAATTCATTGAGTAATTAGTGTCAAAGAGTTAAAATTAATGGGACTTTTTCGTTGATTCTGCCAAAATTTCCGGACGTCCGGATTTTCAGAAACCACCCCCTCCCCCTGTCCGGATTTTTCCGAAATTCCAAAACCACCCCCTTTCCTATTTGCCAGACTTCATAAGTAGATGGCCCCTTATATCCGGGACAGTATGGCGGATGGTAAAGTGCGGCTTTACTTATAATGTGACTTACAATACATGATCAATGTTCACCTCTACAAGTACATTCAAATCGGATAGACTCCGGGTTATCATAATATGACAATTTATAAAGAAGAAAAGTTTGGGTATTTAAAATGTTAATGGTTCGGGAAATTGCTAAAGGGCGCCCTCTTGACAAGCCCTCCTGCTCAGTACTGCATATAGGAAGACTCAAACCCCTCACTTGACAATTCTTGGTATTTCAAGATGTGCTGAACATCACAATAATTGCAACATCAGTTTGCAACATCAGTTTTCATCACTCAATGATTAAACTGCAGCGACAAAGGCTCGGCACATGAAATGATGTCAGGTTTGTTGAGAAGCACTGTTGTAGGAATTTTGCCAATTGAACGAGATTAGACCGGTAAACAGAACGCGAGTCTAACTCAACCTCCAGACAATCGGCTCAGCTTTTGAAGATTTCGATTAGTTTAATGTTCAACAACATCACAATGGAAAACACACTTAACAGCTACACTAAGGACGGTAGAAGTTGCCGCGACGAGGTTTGAAACCGCAAAAACTAAACTCTATAACAGGGGTACTTAATTGTGTCTGAAGTGCTCATGGGATGATACTGTATTGAAGTTTGAACACTTTACCAGTGACGTCAGCACTTTACCAGTGACGTCAGCACTTTACCAGTGACGTCAGCACTTTACCAGTGACTGTTTGGGCATGATTTTAATATAAAGGTATATTCGTATTAGAAAATCATCATAATATCGAAATTAAATGTCAACTACTTGGTAGAAACGCTGGATAGTGGAACATTGATCAAGTTATCTCTGAGTGAGCGCTGATTTGAGTTTTCTGCCCTGTTAATTGGTCCAGTTACCAGTTAACACGTGGATTTTCCTGGATTTCAAGGAAGGGGCATACAATCACTCAAATTACATTTAAAGATTGGGTGTAAGCCTGTCATTGTCAGATCACGATATTTTATTTCGAGTCTTGGCACTTCATGACATCGTTTATGCCTTTAATATCATCAAATACCTATTAAATTAAACAGTTTTCGTGGTTAAAGAAATTTTTTTCGACAGGTACAGTTCCTAAAATAAATTGATTGGGGAGTGGTTCTCTTTTGCTGACTCCAGATAACCAGGAAGATATGATCAGCACCCAACAAGACCCCCCAGTGACAGTGCGCACCTTGTTTCTCAGTCTGTACGTCAGAAAACATGTCAGTGAAACTGGTGCAACCCTGGAACTACAAGTTGTCAATGAGGTACATCCAGGGTGCAATATGATAAACACTTAACAGGCCATCTAGCACACGAAGAATTTTAAGAAAATAACCATAGCTTCGTGTGTTATGACAGTGATCACCTTATATTCATGCATAGTTTATGACAGTTTACGGTGCGATATATATCACGGTTCTAAAATCAAGTATTCTCGAAAAATAACCCTACATGTTTGTGCTGCAACTTTTCCTCGTCCCCTTCGTGCTGTTCGTGCTGTAGGATAATTTGGGGTTGCCTAAACTGAGGTGAGTAAGGTTGAGGGCAATACGTTAGACCTTTATGCAGTGCTACGTGTCTGAGTACCGTCTGCAGGGAACGTGTAAAGCACAGTGCAGTGCTCTTCGTCTTTTTAGAAACTTTAACCCCATAACCTCTCGAGCTGTAAAACACAATAAAAGTGGGAGCATTCGTGTCTGGGGGAGCTAGACAGTGACATGTGCTGAATATGGACAACAGATGGACTTCACCTAAATGTACCTTGTATGATACAATATGAACAACACAAATGCTTTGTTTTTAAAATATTAACCACTTTATATTTACCACGATATTGATATGATGGCACGATATTTCACCTTCGCAGTTTAGTTTATCAGACATGTGCCCGCAGTTGTAATTGTATAGTTTTATTGTGATGAAGAGCTTGAAATTAAGGTTTAGATCTACAATTATAACGTGCAGCTGTATACAGTATGCGAATTGCTCTTTATTGATACGAAGTGCTATAATTCACTAAAGCTCCGGATGAGATTTGTGAAGAGGATTTAATAAGGAATGGCCGATATTACTATAAATCGTGTATCGTACTGAGTGGCAAATGAGGTTATTTCCTGGTCTAAAGCAATAAATACAGGATTAAATCAGCTTATTGCGGGGAGTATTGTGTGTGTTTGATGAGGTCGGATAACAATGATCAATAACGTCGGGTATAACTTCACTATAACGGCTAAACGGCATCATGTATAGTTATTAGTTATAACTTCATACTCATAGTACCGTGCTTTTGTATCCCTTTAACTGTTATTAACACCGTTATTTTACACCATATACTGAACATCTGTAGAAGCGCAGACTTAGATCAATGTTAAAACTGACTTTTCAGGTTTTTAAAATGTTTGAAATGGTTTCTTCAACCAAAATATTTGTAAATAGTACAGCTGAGAGCTCACATTTATTTTGTGCCTTGTTCAAATCGAGGGTTAAGTCTAACAAGAGAGGCGGCCCAGACCCTTAGGGGTAATCACAGCTATTTGACTTGGATCTATTACTATTACTCTATTAGTAGCATTATATTATGATGGGACCGATTATTTTGTACAGTAAAGCCACTATCGTTTACTGGGACCGGTCACCACTAACCAGCTCTTTCCCGAATCTAAATTGCTTTACGATTATGAAAACACAAAGGGCAGGCTCGTTTAAAGGGTGAGTCCTGTGTCACAAGGGCTAAGAATTTGACTGAAGTGAGGCCAGCAACAATGGGGCGATGTTCGGAGATAAAACAACCGGTAAAAAGAAGCCTCCCCTTAAACAATGGGGTTTCCTCGATCAACAATGACAAATTTGCCCAACAGCATCTTTATCTAGAGCTAAATTTGTGTATTGGCGTCCGTTGCTGCTATTATGTGGAGTTACCACGTGGTTTTACGAAATTTTTAACTTTCTGACTTGGAGTGCGTCGTTTACGGGTCCCGGTACAAATGGATAATTATGAAATTGGAGCACTTTAGACAGTCCAGGCCGTTTTTCTTGCGTCCCTTAGATTGTTTAATATTTAGCCGGCTTCTTTCATTTTGCTAAACAAAAACATTGGATCATTATCCTTTATATTTTTGGCACAAATTAAATAACCCTAAATAATAAATGGACGACACGACAGAGGCCTCTCCTACCTCCGCAGAAAATTTTAATTGCAGTAGTTTTGGTAGAGGAGAAGGGGACTGTCGTTAATTCGGCGAGATTATAGTTAACGAGACAGTGAGAAGTAAAAGTAATTATTTTCGCTAATTTGCCTCATTTGTTGGGTTGCATCTCATCACGTGAGGCTCATGCGGATGGTAGAAGTTTTACAGCTCGAGTCTAAGTAGTGCTCTTGAGCTGGAGAGGCCGGTAACGCGCATTTGTTAGTCACGTGAGCAGACCTGCTAACGCTCATTACTCCATCATTACAAATTGTAGACATTTGTTCGGTTCCACTTAATCTAAAACACCTCACACCTTTCACTATTTTTGTTCAATTTTAATATCGATATCAGCCGCAATTTGTAGCATATTTTTACCGTAATCTTTATTGTCATTTGTGGAATAGAGTGGTTTTAATAGGCTCGTTATGGGCAAATTAACAGTTATACAGTATATTACAACAGTGTTTACTACAGGCCCTCTCTCTTCGTAATTTCAATTTTGATGCCATGTTTTCTGACACCATTGAGCTCGAGGGTAAGCATCTGGCTTATAATTCTCCAGTTTCAAGCTCGATACCAGCGGATTTTGTCCAGGAAAGCTAATGATTTGCCTCTTGATTTTACCTTGCACTGATCCCCAACCTGTCACATTCCCGATTTAAACGATTTTTTCCCGGAAAATCTGGTCATTTCGTTAGCTACTCTGAAACTGACACCTTTATTCTGTCTGCTATTATCCGGTCCCTGGTCAGATAATTGCTGAATACAGGTGGTTATTATCGACAATAAAATTAAGCGCGGATTAAACTAAATGATGGGGAGGACAGGCTTTGAAAGTGAAACTAGGTATATAGTTGGAGCTCTAGATCACTGGTGCAGTTCATTGTTTTTGCAACAGTGGTTTCTTGACTGGGCTTCGTTTAGTGCAGTGATAAACCTTGTTTAGCTAAATTAAACCTGTAGATGAAAGACCTGCTGGATATCATTTTCTCTGAGATTAACGAGATGGCGATACACTTGATCCATTAGTGAAATATTAGGGCCACAAAATAAACTAAAGTAGTTTACTCACTCTCATCGCATTACAATCAGCTGTTAAACCGTTAAAAGAAAGTCATCTTTTTCTTCTGAGTCTAACGCTAATTTCGTCTAATATTAATTCAAAGAAATGTTTTAGAAGGTTAATTAGTTGTTGCAACAACACATGACTACGTCTACCAGCTCACTACTCAGCAGCTACTGATCTACACTCAAGCATTGTCCTACAACTTTTTGACAGTTTTTCTGTGCAGGTCCTTTGCATTAGTTCCATGATGTTCGATCATTTACAAATTGCGGTAATTATATAGCGTCTACTCCAGCTTCACTAACATCGTGTCTCAACAAACACAGATTCCAAGTGGAATCACACACATACAAATTTAATTAAAAACCCCACAACCAACCAAAACCCCTTCATATCCCACTTTTTATGCTAATCCTGAACCATAACCAATCAGTAATCACGCTCCATCACGACGAGAGACCAGCGGCTCATGATACACCTCGACAAGACATGAAGACGTGATGACTATTCAAATAACCGCAGCAAAAAACGTGCGTTCATCATCGTAATACCTTCTAATCATTAAAATTCAACTAAATTTATCATCAACTCTGCCGGGACCTGTGTGAGTCGACATTATAACAAACAACTTTCCAAGCGGCAGATTGCTATGTTGTTATAACACGTAGGTACGGTTTGTAGGTTGGAGCTATCACTTTTAGATTATTACAGAGAGGGAGAGACTGTCTAATCAGTAATGTGCCCTCTGTTCTATGATGATCAAATTTAGATAGGATTAATTCGGATTAGGTGATTATAATACTAATGCCATTATCATGTGTTCATTAATCCAGCTATAGGTAGTATGTTTGGGAGGGCCTTGTTAGATTCTAGTAAAGGTTTTGAATTTCAGGAGGTTTTTGTTGATTTTAAAGCTCTTTGTACTCCCTCCTCCTCAACACTATTGTTCTTCAGACAATGCCCTCGTCTCTTTTGCGCCTCGTCCAGATTTATTAATGTGCAAGTGAGCTAGTTAAATACTCATTTACCGGTATATCACAGCTTCAATTGATCGTTTACGGTTGTGGACTAATTTTTTCAATTTCGTTAGCCTAAGCAAGGTGGTCCAGCTTTTAGAGTTTTCTGGACATGGGTTGTTTGCATCGATATCTGTTCAGATGGTTCCTAATCACAGTGAACTGTGAAACGCTGAACTCCGAATTCTGCAGCTTATCCGTAACGATATAATTAGAACTGAGGTACCTACTGGTAGCCGCAAGATTCCGTATATATTTTCTATTCTTTATGACAATACAATCACATTGCGCTTAACACCGATAATACTTTGAATTGTTATTTGTCCAACCTCGTCACGTTTGCCTGTGTATATGTTTGAAGTTACCTGTAATATTCTACACAGTTTTCTAAATCATCTACCTTTTAGGTTTTTAATAGCAATGATGCACACCTTTGGACTTGAAGATCACTACACGTCCAAGATATTTGCCAAAGGACTGAAATCGGGCAAAAACGAAGATGAGAAATCATTCAATGTGAGTAGAACATTCCTGAGTATCTTTAACAGGTTAAATAGAAACGCTGTGCACTTTTTTGTTAGAGTTTGAACTTAAGCAATTCAGAGCCCAGCCACGTACCTATACAATTAAACAGCTAAAATCCGGAAGATATTGTAATCTTTGTTAAACGAGGTGTAGGGATCACAATAAAATAACCATTAACTAACAGACATGCACTTCCTGGTGACAAAAACTAAGAAACTTGTATAGACTAGGGCACCCCTTATGACAGGAGCGTTAGGGCTCTAGGGCTCGCATTGTTTACTACCCTGCTATAAAGGGACAGAGGGCCGAATCACGCCCTAACACCATTGTTTGAGCTAGCTGAAGACAACAAGGCGGTCCCACCGAGCAAGTCCTGGGGTGCAGGACAATCGGGTAGGATCAAAGATTCAGGAGTGAAACTGACAACTTAAGTACAGATTAGGGGCCGCTTGTGGTTTTCAACCCGTGAACTAACGGCCGTTTGTCTGTCTATATGGCATTAAGAGGCATTAAATACGATTATCACAAAACTTAAAGTCGGCTTCAACAAACGAGAACCCTTCATGAAATCGGTCATTTCCAAGCTACAATATTTAATTATTTAAACGACTGAAAATGGTATTGTTTAATGATCTTCAACCGATGTTTGCTGATCAAACATTACCAATCGAACTGATAGTGATATCTCAAATATGGAATACCTATGCACATAACTAAGCCATAATTTGTGAGAACGTTTGAATAGCATTCAAATTCAAGGTTCGCTTTCATATTATATCATCATTAATTTGTTTGTTATGTAGGAGGGCCTATTTTCGGTATTTCCCCAAAAAGAGGCCCCAATTTCCCGTACGATATTGAAACATTGTTTAGAGAACCCTCAGTCCAACTGATGGGTAGCATTTTCAGAGGTACGTCAGACAGCTGGTGGACCAGTACCTGGACAAGGAAGTTGTCATCAGCAAGCAGCCCGAAGACAAAGTGGAACTGATTGTGCAGGCCTGTCGGGAGAAGTTCCCAGAGTTCGCTCACTGGACTACTACTCGCATCAGGTAAGCACATGACAAACCCACGAATAACTTTAATTGCAATTTTCTGATCAAATTTCTTTTCATTAAATATTTCTATTCGCTTTAGTTCAAGAATTTTGAGTTTCGGCAATGGTTGAAGCAATAACAGAAAAAATTCCGAGTTGTTTATTTATTTCATCCCTAAAAGCCTAAACCATTCAGGATCTACATCGAGTCCTGCCGAAGACTGAAGAAGATCAAGAACTCTCCTCTTCTTCTGGCTAAAAGAAAAGCAGCAGGCAGGCGTTTTAGAGAGGGCCAGAAACTCAAAAAAATAGTGAGTTTTAGAAACGAGTTATTGATCTTGTCACCGATATCCTTTTTAGTTAGTTTAGTTAGCTGACAATTAATTTGTACCATGAAAATGTTTCCCAAGCAACTGATGGCACAATATTCGGCACGCACCAATTTCCTGATCACTCAGGGACCATCAATTTACCCTATTTCAGCCCTTTTCTGTTAAACCCTCAGTTCGGCACACTTTTAATAATCATCAAAGCACTCTAAGGCACAGGCACATGGGTTGATTAGTGCAAATAAAGTTCTTTCGGCGGATACAAATTGACCCAATTACGGTTGCACTTGCATCAATTGTTCAATTACTGATAACTCACAGTTCCTCTTGCTCAACCATGGAAACCTCATTGGAGCTCTTAGATTTCACTATCCGTTACTTCAAGTACCACTATTTGTTGAGCGAGCACGCTAAGTAGGAAGTGGGTTCTCAGCCACGAGCCCTCTGAGACTGCACGTGCCAGGTTCCATTTTTACGGTCTCGTGCTCCAGTTACACTTTTTAATTGCCCTGAAGTAAGATCGTTTATCGGATATGGCTGATCTGCGCAGTTTTATTATTCGAAAATATATTATTGGCTCGATTCCAGACGACTTAAACAATTTTAGGAAGTAGCCCCCTTGATCGTGCCAGTATTGCAAGTCACGCGAGTGTCAGAAAAAAAACCATGGTTCTCTAGATTTCTCCGGATCAGAGAACACGTCTCACCAGGGTAGCAGATCGAGCACATGCTCATTGCTCAACTGTAGCTTGTCACGTGATTCACTTAGACCGCGTTTCGCTCAATCATTACTGATTTGTAAGCGCGATAACGAGATAAAGACCCGCCATACTGATCTTAAAGACCTCCGGTTAAACCTACAGATCTAGATCTTACTGGCTCTGACCTTACTTTCCCGCAAGGCTTTTCGCATCATCTAAAAACTTGAGATTTGTCATAGGAGGAGAGAATGGTCCAGTTATAATACATCCGGCTCTATAACGACTTGGCCAGTACAATAAATCTAACACCATATCTCTCACGCCTAGTTCGCCTCATTATACATTCCCGCACCACTTAACGTTACATTTTAGATGATAATCATGGTATCAAGGGGATTTAAGTTCGGATCCGCTTCATCTATTTCCCAGTATTGACGATTACGAGCTGCGTCTGGCTTTGTACCAAGATTTAGACTTATTACATCTCATTTAGTTAAGTTAAGCAGACGATCTGATGATCATCGCCACAAAGAAATCACAGACATAGTGCACACCTAACCGTGTGGGCGCGTGTGATTCCCCCAAAACTTTGTGCCTCAGTACCAACACAACATTTACACCTTTCTAAGATCGTACATTCAATTATTAAAATCTCACAGAAAACTTTCCCTTCAGATTGCAAGTCAGTACTCGATGCAGGCTGCGGAGGCGAACAGACAGCTCGCTGAGTACCTGATCAGGAATGGCCGGACCGTGAACCAGGTCAAACCTAAACGCCTCAGCCCTTACAGCCCTCAGCAATTTATCGAGGAACAAATCAACGCCATCGGTAAGATTGATAACCGCCGGCGTTGTTAGGACTTTTATGTTTTGATCATTTTTTTAAACAGAATGCCTACTCGATTTTCTGATCGTTTATTCCATGAGCGATTATGTAATTTCAGTTTAACGAAATTGGGCCGAGTGACAATAGTATATCAATGTATACCACATTTGTGCTTCACAAAATCAAGACAGACAATTCTGTGTAAGATTTTTAGGGCCTAATTCTAGGAAAACTTTGAATTATTGTATTTGTGTAGAGCCGGGATCCCATGTTTGCACCGATATAGGAAAATCAAACCATTGATCAATTTAGATTAGCAAACCACGGAGAGCCGCACAGGATACAGGCGACACTGGTTTTATATGGAATCATACAAGGCTGTGTGTAGATTTTAAGAGTAAAGATCTGGATTCATTTGAAGCGTAAAGGGAGCAGTAGACTAACCTGGGAATTATTAGTTGGTTATGTTATTACTGCAGTCGACTCCACATGAAGTGGTTGTGGTGGTGGTTCTAGGCTTGAAATAGCGGGGTAGGATGACGTTACTTCAGAGCAAACTATATTTTAATTTCACTATGTGCAACTGAGAGTGATAGAGGCTACATAATATAATAATATCTGAGAAGAATGCGTTGTTGGATTGTAAAATAGGATAACTGGAAGATTTAGATTAACAATTATTTAATACATAATCCATAATATTACTGATTAAAAAAAATAAACCTTCTCTCAGGTATCAAGACGGAAGGAGTTCAGATCAAGAACGAATCATCAACATCTCCTTATATGGACGGGAAGGAAGGTTACACTCAGATGCCGAGCATTACCCTCCAGAACCAATCTATCAATCCGGTAAGCATCAACTATGAAAAACTAAATAAAATTAACTTGGTCCGATTCTACTTCTAGTCAATATTATTATTATTCTTAAAAGAAGTTTAAAACTAGAATTGCCAAGATATGATGAATTTATATAGAATTAGCAATGTTAACGTAAGGCGATTTAGCACAAATCGAATGATTTGGTTGTGCCAATTCATCCCACATAGCGAAGGAAAGAGAAGCAGCATTAAATCGACGCGAGCCTAACCTGCGAGGTTTCGCTGGATCATGTTTATTGTCAAATCGCGCCGATCCGTGCAATTTTCAGAGTAACACCACTCGTTTTTGCGAGACACTACTATGTTATAGTTGTAATAATATCGGAGGGGTTACCATTTCTTGTAAGCATACCTGTAAAAGCTGTGCACGTGCAACAACTAATCTAAATCAAATTAATCTACAAATGAATAGGCCCATTTCACAGAGAGCAATGCTAAGGCTCTCCCACGCCCCACTGAAGACCCTGCAGTGAAATTATGTTTAGATAACTATCTCGATCATGGCCCTGATAAGTTAGCTAATAATATAAGATTATCTGACCATAGCTGACCAACAAAAAACTCAGGTTCTGAGCAGTCTGATGAACATGACACCGTCCTCCCTGCAACCACCCTCCATGCTAGACCGACACACCATCACTCCGCCCAACATCCCGATATCCAAACTGTCCCCTCTGGGAACACCGCTCCCCACCATGGCACCTTCTTTCAATCCGCACCAAGTTGTACCTCCAAGAGTGGTCAGTCCAAGAACACCCACTGCCTCTCCCCCCACCATGATGTCAAATACTCTCTTCAACAAGCCCTCACTCTTCAAATCACCCCAGGTTAGAAGCATTTTTATTTGATGTTCAGATATTTTAATGGTTGTTGATAACTTTTATTTCTCTTTACATGAACATCAGACCTTTCATTTAAATGTATTATTATTAACTATAATGGTTAACGTGATAGTGAAAGCGATATTTCTAAACCTAAAGAATATACTCAAATCCACATTCCACAGGAACCATTTAATGACGCAGAGATGGCCCAACCAGAAGATAGCACAGAGAGCTCAGTGTCAGACGCTATAGGCAAGGTATGTAGATCATTTTTATGGAAGCAATGGTTGTCTTACTTATTCCTGACTGACTGAAATTTGAACAGTTTATCGAACTAGCAAGGAACAATGATTCGATGTCTTCTGAACAATAAAACCGGGATGTCTTCAGGTAATAAGCGCAATGCTGCAGAATGAGAAATCTAAGCAGACGGAGGAAGCAAAACAAAACACCAGTACTCCAAAGAGCTGTCCGTGGAGCATCACCGGGTCCCCGGTGCAACAAGAAAGACAAATCCTCTCACCTCTGTCTCCACCCCGGCAAAGGGATCAACCTCAACTTTCTCCCAAACAGAAGAGCTTCCAGATAGAGTCCCTGATGAACAGCTCGCAGAAGGAGGTCTCACAGGGAGCCAACACCACCGGAATTACAGTCAACACCTCTCCGCTAAGATTGCCGCTGTCCTTGGAGAAACACTCGGTGATGAGCATGACGGAGATCCTGAACGCCAAGACTCTGGTGACGAGTTACAGAGAAGCTGCCAACTTCTTGTACCGAGCAGCTTCTGAACTTGAGCAGTTGCTTCCAAATGACCACAGAGTGTTTTGAAGAGAACAGGTTTGATGGGCCCATTGAGTGATCCTGTTTATTTAATGATTGTGATTTGTGAGGTGTATTATAAGACAGTGAAACATATCAAGGTAAATTAATTACTCCTAGATTTCAGAGTATGCAAGAGTGAAGATTCCTAATATGTTGGATTACTGTACTGAACTCTTTAAACTTTTAAATGAATTCTATCGGGTAAAATGAGTAATGTGACGGTTTTATCGATTTGATGCAATACCGAAGTGTTTTTATTTTATTAGATCCTCTTCATTCGATACATAATTAATACAATTATTGCAACTGATTGGAGTTAAACATATAAGTGATACGATAGTTTTACTTGTAGAAGCTTTCAATAAACATGTGTTAATCTTCGTCAGCTGTAGTTATTATAATAACATTAATTACGTGCTACGAACAATATTGAGAGAAGCTGGATCTCCTCACCAATATTGTACACTTTTTCTTAGATAATTTAATTTGTTCATAGCGCATTAGTTCTTAAACAATTTTAAACAATTAATGAATGTATCAGTTTTTACAGAGGCTAATTTTCCCGGTATTTATTTGAAAATTATACCAATTGGATATTTATTTAATATTGCATAATTTAATATTTGAGTTTAAATGTAATTTTAGTTTATTTCAGTTTAATTTTAAGTTTGTTTCGTCGTCTGCACATGGAAGACGATAAATATTTATAATATTAATTCTGCAGTTTTATCACAGCTACATGCTATAGTAAAAGATCAATTATCATTGTCTCTCCCACAAACATGTCAAATGCAAAATTACATAAATTACAGAACGGTGCGGGGAACACGTGCTGGCGATAATGAAAATTTAGTTAATCTTGAAAATTAGCTGAAATAAACCACGCTCTGGGTGTTAACAAAAGGGCGCATGCTCCTCGACTCGAGTATTTTAACACAAAAGTGTAAAAGCTTCTAAGGAAGAGTCAATCTCGCACAGCTGCAATGAGACCTATAACAACTCTATAATGATCTCTTAATCTGACCGAGAAATTTTATTAGTGCCGGGACAGCATCGCCAGTAATGACATTTAATCGGGCACAAAAGGAAGCCCCGCCAGATGGTGGCTGATCTCGATAGTGGCACTCTAGTTCTGCTGAAGTGTGTGAGTATCTGTTTCTGATTGAAGCTTGCGGAGAGAGAGAGCATGTGGCAGCGGTTGATCAGGAGGTGTGATCAGATCCTTAGTCTGCATCTTCCGCAACTCCCTCCATAATAATTGCTCTGTTAATTGCTCCTTAGCATTAAAATGTATCAGAAATCAATGATAAGTGCAGGGAGTAGAGGCTGCGGCTTTCCCAATCTTCGACTTTGATCTTCGACCAATATTCTGAAGTTCTAACATAATATGTGCTGTGTGGAGTTATTAAACGGGGTATAATTTGGGGTGATTAAATTGACACATTGTATTATTTATATAAGCATAATGGAAGGAGGGATTTAAGAGCGACTGGCAGACGGGAAAACATGTTAATTCTTTTTAGAAGAGGAACTCGGACAGAAATTGACAATTACACTCCAAAAGTCACTCTATTATTACTCATGTTTCATGGGGGTAATTGGGTATAAGTAGGTTACTAAAGGCGTTCAAACGGTTCTAAATTAAATTGAGCTCTATTTATTAGACGCTTTTAAAAGGACAGGTCCTCTAATTAAGATGATTATTATAAGGCAGCTGTTGTTTTAAAGCGAGAGTTGCCGTTGGCACTAAAATATTGGCTAAAGATAAGAATATCATGTCCGTAATGTGAGCATTATTGTTCGATATTCTTTTGTTTTCCTAGTTCTTTCTAAACAAGTACAAGAAATTAAACCAAAAGACAATGATACTTTGTCTTTTGGATCTTCAGCTGCCCGTCATCCTGTCTCAAGAGTTGCTGTGTCAGATTTTGGGTGGTCCCTCGAAGTCACATTCATAAGGCCAGCAGTCAATAACTACACCGGGGTAACGTTATTGCGAGCCAAACTGATAAGAAAAGAAGCTTCATAAAAGATGCTGTTATGAAGCAGGGTACACCAGGCAAAAATGAAAGTCGAAAAAAGTCTAAATCTTAACAATCCTCATAACCAGTTTTGTTGAATTGACCTTAAAATAGGACATAAATAATACACTATAAATTGCATGACAGTAAGCACGGTCCTGTTATACTCCACGTGTCACCAGCACTTGAACCCTCCTCTCGCACTTAAAGCCTCTCTTCTCACTGTAGTTTATACCACTTAAATTAGACAGAACCCGACCTATCAGACTGGACCACATTTCAGGTGTTTTAAGTGCCTCCTACACTACATGTTGATGTAGCACACTCATTATCTGTACTTTCAACATGAAATACGGGGTAGGCGGGTCTTGACATTGTAGTTTTTACGAGTTCATACCAATACTTTCATGAGACACTGATCATCAATATCACACGATCAATATGTGTTTTATAAAGGTTAGCTAACACCGTGCAACTCCGCGGAGAGGATAAGGACATGATTTATCGCACATCACCTGGCTCAATAATACAAGTTCTAGCTTACTAAAGAAATTGTTCATGCCTACCTTTTAAATCTAACACAGGAATATTGAATATCGGAGGTCGATATGTAGCACAGACTTGTAAATTGTAGAATCTTTAACAATTATGAAAGAAAAAGAGATCATGCACTGGGACTTGCAATAAATAAGTGGACAATGAAATTAACGGAAGAACCAATGTGTGAGTAACGTCTATACTAGATGGGGTGATTTCGTGTCTATTTCGTTTATCTGTTGATCAAACGAAAACACGTACTATAAGTGGATCGTTCAATTATAAAGTACGCGTAAGCCAGCCAGCCTAGGGGGTTTCTGGAAATGCGAACGTTAGTGTAACTTCACACAATATTAGTTTTGTGTAAAACGGCTTACAGAGAGGGGTCTAGAATTTCCAAGATTGACTCACGAAGTATGTGAACGATCCCTAATGCAAATGATCATTATCACATACTGTAACAGATAGATATTGTCCGTCCAAGAAAAACTTAACTTTGATTGAGCGCCATGTCATGTTAGGGTACGCCCTTTTTGAAATAAAATTAGGGCAAAACATTTTATGCGCTGACACTCTGTGCACTGCTTAAAGGATTTGTGATGATATAAGTTGTGATCTTGCTTTTCTGCTTATGGTCACTGGAAAGTTACGAAAATCGAGGTCTACATGGTGGGTGCGCCAACTCGACACCGAACTAAAAACCTAAATATGCTGTACCTGTTATCATGTACGCACGTTATAACCAAACAACTTCCGTATACAAGGAATACATTGTTTAAAAGATGCTAACGAAGCAACTGTATCGGTGATTATGCTTTAAAAGTGTAACTTGAAGGTTGCCCGGTTTAAATTGCACAGTAAATCGATGTTACAGCAAAGCTCTAAAGTCTAAAACGCTATAATCCTCGCACACTACAGAATATGTATAGGATAGCAGTTATCGCAACCAACCTTTACATTGTTTCTTCACTTAACCAAGTTTGGAGAACCCTGTCATGACAGGAGCTAATGCCGAAGAGTGACGTCGCTCTCTGTCGTTCTCAACATGTGGAATAAACACGAAGCCGCCCAAATGAGGATTCCTTCCTCTGTCCAATTCATCAAAATTAAAATACTAAAATATGCAAGTAACAATTAGCAAGTATAAACGTTCAAGACTTGCCGATGATCAGATTCCCAATTCGAGTTACACTAACAGTAGCATTATTCAGTAACTCAATTCGGATAAGAGTCGTGTTCGGATATATGAGTTATTGGCTGCACAGCAGCTGCAGGTCGCATGATGGTAAATATCAAATCGAAAAAATGCCCTGCAAAATCGTTCACTGATATTTATAGCAGAATTGTACTTCTCATCAGCTGGACAATTAATATGGGTCACTAGGTAGTAGGTAGTTGTTTATTGTATAGTTTGGTTTCTCTTTGTTAACGGGATTAATATAAGGGGATATTTCTGTAATTATCCCCTTAATATTTAAAGGAATAATTATTAAGGGGATAATTATTACTAGATCATTTTCAGATCATAAACTTGTCATTACTCGCATCAATTTCAGCAACATTCATATTTGTTTCAAACCTAAACAACGTTATGTTCCTTCTTATAACATATCAGAACTTGTAAGCAATAAAGATATGCAATATAAATATCACTTGGCAAGATTTCAAATTTTAGCAAGCAACGATCCAAACACCGACCTTCAAAATCGTATCTCTCATATTCGTGATGCTGCCAATGTTTCCATCGGCCCAAAACCTAAAGCTCGTTCGAAACATCACAGCAGTGATGACACCCTCAAAGAGCTCGTTGAAAAGCTACTGAACAATAATCAATCTCTTGATCGTTCTACATTGAGGTCATCCATCAACCACCTCACTAATAGTAAGTATAGTGTATTAATGGAAAAAATGATGGAAGAAAACGCTGGTCCGTCAACAGGACCCCGCAAAACATGTCCTAACATTCTCCACCATCATACGGGCCACTATTTCTGACAATGGTTCAGCATTGCAGCGTTTGTACAAGTTTTTGTTAGAATGACTCCTGGGTACTTTATATTAAAAATAGTGCGAAGATGTCTGCGGTGAACAACATCTAGTTTTACTTTTTCAAGGATTATTTTGGGGACTGCCCAGCAGGATAAGTTGTACATAAGAACTGATACGACTAAAGCATTGTACAGTATTAGACGTTTGTTTAGAGGCAGTTTATCACTCCAGGCTTTCTTGTAGTTGTTGAAAGCAACTACAATATGCAATCAAACAACCATATTCATCATGAACGCCAATCGAGTTATTCGGTGGTTTACTTTTCTGAAGATGTCTTACCGCTTAAAACATTTTCCTGGAATCATTTGTGTTAGTCATTTCACTGTAGGTCTGATCAGCTTGAGCAGACCTTTACTTCAACTAATCTTCTCTGGAGTAGGGAATCCGGAATAGGGATTAACTTAATACAGATATTATATCATGGGCATGACCATCTGTAAAGCATATTAGGGCATTGTCCGATCCCGGCCAATTTAGGACTTCATAAATTGGTCTAATAATCCGTTATGCCTAAGTCTTGGTTCCTTGTATCGAGTATTTGGTATTATCTTATACTCTTACAAGCCTGTCCCTCACTTACAGTTACACTTACAGTTAATCTATGGAACATTGACAAATGAGCTTTAATGAGTGACCATGGTGCATGAGTGGCGTAACGTTGCCTGTTGGCGCCCCCTGCCGAAAAAAGCGCCCCCCTGTTGGCGCCCCCTCCCCTTTTGGTGCCCCTCCCTAAAATTGAACAAATTAGGTGATTTTAGAGAGTACGCCGGTAAAATCTCTAAAAAAAGTGTGTATCTAGAGCAAAACGCGCAGTTTTGCTAGTACTTTAGTTAAGTTTTCGAAATTGTCCCACATTCAAACGACGATTTGGCGCCCCCCTAAGACGGCGCCCCCCTGCACAGCGGGGTCAGCAGGGCCTTTCGTTACGCCACTGCCATGGTGTGTGTGTGTTTACCTAAAGATGTCCTGCTAATTATAAGTTCAAAGTTGGTGCCAATCCTAGCAATGATATTTGAAAAATTCTATATAGTCCTGCAGACTGCTAACCTAATCGTCCAGGTAACAACAATTCCAACACGACTTTAATTCGGGGAAATAATTCCCGAAAAATATTATAAAGCATAAGTTCCCTGGTCATTATA